TTAAGAGTCGGTGCCGACTCGATGGCACCTAACAACAACAACAACAACACCCCCAGGACCTGTAAATGTAACCTTATTTGGAAGCAGGGTTCTTTGCAGATGCAATTAAACGAAGTCATAAAGAGTAAGAGCAGGCCCTAATCCAATGACTAATATCCTTATAAAAAGAAGAGACAGAGACTCAGAGAGAGACACACAGCAGGAAGACAGTCTATGGAGATGGAGGGGGATTGGAGTTATGCTGCCCCAAATCAAGAAACACCTGGGGCTAACAGAAGCTGAAAGAGACAAGACAAGATCTTCCCCGAGAGCCTTCAGAGAGCACAGCCCTGCCACATCTTACTTTCAAACTTGTAGCCTCCAGAACTGTGAAAGACGACATTTCTGTTGTTTTAAACCCCTCAGTTTGTGGTAGTTTGTTGCAGCATCCCTAGAAAACCAACACAAGCCCCAAGTCCACTAACTGAAAAAAGGAGTAATCTTTTAGTGAGGAAGGGAAATGCGTCTCAGTCAAATTAAGGCTGGCAGCAGGCAGATAATTTGCGGCTGCCATTTATCAGCAGAGAAAGGGTCCCACTGCTCCCTCAATAACCCTCTTGCTCTTCTTGCATCCAAATTCCTCATCCTTTCCAGTTCTCCCTGCACCACTGGGCACATTCCTACCATGTGGGGGAGTTCTCAGGCTCTACCGTGGGTACCATTTGGGCACAAATGACTCATCTGACAGGAAAGTCACTGTTAAACAGGAAAGAGATAGACATCTCTCTGATCACAGCTCCTTTCACAGTGCTTGACTAGGCCCAAAGCCAGGGCTCAGGAACTGAGCAGAGTCACTTGACAGCACCAAGAAAGATGAGGTAGTGATATTGATCTTCAAAGGTACAGTCAGGTCTCTTTCCTGAAGGAGCCCTTCAACTACACTGGGCGGCCAGGGCCCCAAGCCTCATCCCTTCCCTCCTACCTCCCATGGTCAGACCAACTTATTACCTATTAACCCAAAGGTGGGAGCAAGGTGGTCATCCTTAATTCCATCAAATGTCAGATACTTCGGGGAAGGCTGTGGGAAAGGAGGGGGAACCAATGCCAAAAACTATGCTTGGGGATTTTCCTTGGGTTTCTTTTTATATCGACGGGCTATTCCTGTCCTTGTTATGATAAATAATTGATAGTTGGCTCCAAATCTAACATTGGCTCTTAGCCTGGTATCCAAATGCAATAAACAATGTGCAGAATGTTACTTAGGGCTTCACTGTGCGGACACTACACAGGAAGAGAAACCAGTAGGAGTCCTTACTGGAGCTACGCAGGGTTCTTGAGGGGAATTCTCCTCCCCTAGGAAGGAGCAAGGAGAGTCATTAGGCTTTATGAATTTCAAAATATGCAGAGACCATCTGACCCAGGAATTCCACTGCTGGGAATGAAGGCTGAGGAAATAACAGAGCTATGGAAACAGCTTGATGCAGAGATGTTCATTACAGTGTTTCTTATAAAAACAAAACAACAATCCAAATACTCAATAGGAGATTGGTTACATGAGCTTGGGACTCTCTGCCCAATAGAGAAGTCTGCCACTAATGAGAGTGAGATTTCCAAAGAATTTGTAATGATGAGGGATGGTAGGAAGGATGCTTATGTTATAATGTTAAATTTTAAAGGGAGAATTCGGAGTTTTAGAAACAATAATCACAGCTATATAAAAACAAACAAGAAACAATGTCAAGGAAATTGACGTGAAGAAAACTCATCAAACTGTTACGTGTTCTTCTTGAGGGACACAGAGCCTCTGTTAAGGGTGATGAATAAATTAGTTAATGGTTAATTCAGTTAATGGTGATGGTTAAAAAACATGATTAGCATATTCAATGTCTCTGAAGTGTACACCTGAAGACTGTTGAAATGGTACCTGTATTGTTACCTATTTATTTGCCACAGTTTAAAAGAAAATCCTTGAAACAATTTAAACGTTGTTGATCTGAGTGTTGATTGCATGAGCATATATTCACGTTATGAAAACTCACAAGCTGTACACACACTTTATAATGCTTGTTATATTTCAAACACATGTCCAGGTTTAGACAATGTATGATTTTTTCCCCCCTCTTCTTTCATGGTCAGTATTTAGCAAATTGCCAGTTATAATCACATATCACTTAAAATTTTTTAAACATTCCTATTGACCTCATTTGGAGTTCTGATGTGGCACTGTGGGTTAATGCGCTGGACGGTAAAGTCAGTTTGAACCACAAGGTTGGCGGTTCAAGTACACCACCTTCTCCTTGGAAACTCTATACAGGGTCGCTATGGGTCGGAACCGACTCAATGGCACTTAACAACAATCAACCTCAGTTAACAAGCTCTGGTAGCATAGTGGTTACAAGTCAGGCAGATAACCTCAAGGTCAGCAGTTCGAAACTACCAGGGGTTCCGTGGGAGAAAGATGAGGCTTTCTGCTTCGATAAAGATAAAGGGTCGCTATGAGTCGGAACCGACTCCACCACTGACCTCATTAAATCAATGTATACTGAGAGTCTTCAGGGTTTTGTTTTTTTCCCAAGAAACTATTGGGTAACTGTGAAAGGTGAACTTACTTGCCTTTTAAATATTTTTTTAGGAGAAAAATAAGACTCTGAAACTCAATAAGCTCAAAGGAGCCTATGAGACCAGTCACCATGGGTTTCACACCAGGCAGTATTTTGCCCTGGGCTGGGGTCTGAGCAGGGTCTGGGGGCCAGAGAGGATGCAGTGAGAGAGGCAGAAAGAAGAAGCAGCTTAGTTGTCAGAATTCACTTGCACCTCAGCCTCCACTTGCAGCCAAAAGAATTAAAAACAAAAAACCTCACAATAATCCTTACCTTAAAAAAAAAAAAAAAATTATGTAGAAACCAGGGCCCTGTGAGAAGTGCCCATCCCCGAGACTCCCTATCCATCCCATCCCCATCAACACAACAAAATGTTCCCACTGCACCCAGCCACTTCTGTAAGGCAGGACACCACAACTCTTGCCCCTGCCCATATAGAGATGGGAGAAAGAGTGATTTTAATATTTTGGAATGAGACACTATATATTCAATACAAAAGGATTTTCAAATCATAGGCATATATATTGGAAACCCTCACCCAATTACATAAGTCTATTTATCTAGAATATACATAAGCTTAAGGAGTCCTGGGGTGGCGCCTTAGGATAAGCACTTGACCTCAAGGTCTGTTTGAACCGTAGGGTTAGCAGTTCAAACTCACCAGTCACTCCTTGGAAACCTGATACAGGATCGTCATGAGTTGGAACCGAATTGATAGCACTTAACAACTTCACAAATTCTAGAAAAAGGAGGAAAAGTAATTCTTTGCTATAAGAACCCTATTTTCCCAGTGTCTGATAAAGTAAAATGAGAGAACTGGTGGAAAATAGGATGTAGGGTGGGGAGAATTGGCCCCTGGAAGTAATAAAAGGCAAACCTCTTTCACGGGCACATTTAAATTTATAGATATGTTGCTGTTTCTGAAGAGCGACTGGTGAGCTTGAACCATCAACCTTGTGTTTCAAACCGACCTAGCAGACCCGTGCATTAACCCACAGCGCCACAACAGCACTTAACTGGGGCAGGGGCCTAGGTTTCCTGACCCATGAAGCTAGAACTAAGTGCCTTCAAGCTGAGTCTTATGGAGAAGTGGTGTGGCATTTATCAGAGACCCACAGACAGAGGCCTGCCTGTGGGCACAGCTGAGGAGTGGCTGCCCTGACTGGTACAACAGTACTCTGAGCATTTCCAACCCTGAAATGCCATCTGTTAACTTCCTTAATAAATCCCCTAATTGTGAATATGGTGTCTGCATTCTGTGAGGTCACTGCAATGGATTATGGAACCCAATAGAGAGGTGTAGAGTGTTGTTGGAGGATGGTCAGTGCCCCATTTTTCACTATGAGTTAGAACTGACTTGGAGGCATGCAACCACCACCACCATACATATATTAATATATATGAAAGGGCTTCAGGAAGTTTGTGGGAAAATGGAACGAAAAGATAATGCAATTTTCCCACAAATTTTTTGAAGCCCTGTCATGTGTGTGTGTGTGTACACATATATTTGTTAGAAAAAATTTAAGAAAATATTATGCTTTGGTTGAGACATAAAATAAATGTACTAAAAGTAAAAACAATACAGTATCATAGACAGGCAGTATGAATTTCAACCTGCCTTGCCTCTCATATTTGGCCTGTTGTAAATGTGCTCATTCCTAAAGCACTGTGGGGCCACCATTTCTGTACTCCTAGATTCCCACTTTTTTTTTTTTTTTTTTGACATGAGAGACTCTTGTTGTTGTTGTTAAGTGCTGTTGAGTCGGTTCCGACCCATAGCGACCCTGTACAGGGTTTCCGAGGGTGTAAATCTTTACGGGAGTAGAAAGCCTCATCTTTAGGAGGACAAAATATTTTATCACTTGAAATAAATGGCCCCATACAGGAGGAAATGAAAACTCAGCAGGCTAGGGAATAAATTGCTGATAAGTTTTCAGCACAGGGCATTTACCCTGCCTATGTCTCCAAGGATTGTGGTTGTTTAGTAACCAGCCAGTGTCTAAGCACCATTAGCAGATTAGCAAACTAGGTCTGTGGTGAGCACTCTGGCCAGCTCCCAGCCTAATACTTCTTTATTAGCAGTTAGTAGTATACCAAGATAGCACTGTTTGTTAAGTGCCAATAGTGGCAACATATAAAACCAACAGAGTTAAGACGAGCTGGGCCTGAGTCTTAGCCAACAGCAGGCTGGGATTCACAGGACATGTGTTCTAAACCTGGACTTGCTATTCAGAAGTTATGTGTCCCTGGGCAAGTCATCTTATCACTAGGGAACTGGTTTCTCATTTGTTAAATTATCAAAAATTAAACACAATTCAATACAAAATACAATGAAAGAATATGACTAGATAGTCCCTAAGGCCCTAAACAAAGAGCAAGCACTTTGGATTTGCATCTTGATCCTGACCCTTACTAAATACAAGCTCTCCACCTCTCTTAGCTTAGGTTTCCTAATCTGTAAAGTGGAGATGATGACAGCAACTCTGAAGAGTCTCTGAGGGGTTCTAAGCAAGACCTGTTAAAGCCTTAATGATGTAGAAATAGAAAGTGAACACAGCAATATGAGTTTGTGGGGAAAATGGGATAGTGGGGAGGCAAAGAATCCCTTAGAGGGCAGTAGGTGGATTTTTCAATGCTGATATGATCCCTCTTTGACCCAAAGGTATGGAGAACCTTCAGCTCCTTTAAGGAGCCACCTCCACTCTTTAGAACCCTTACCTATTTGCATACTTTTCAGGCAGCTTTCTCATGAAGCCATTGAAAAAGCAAAGGGAGACTATCCCTGAACACAGTTCAAATTGTCATCTTCCAGTCTAGATCACCCTTGGTGGCTGAGCTAGCTCAGGGTCACCATAAGAATCAACAGCTAGAGTCCCCTGAAAGTTGCATTTAAGGCAAGAGGAAAGAAGGGAGACGTGCCATTTCTTCTTTACTTACTATTGTCATCATAACTAACAACTGCCCAAAGGGCTCTTGGCCTGACTTCTTTTGGACTTCAATATACACAAAATTGTAAGTTCCAGTAGTTAAATCCTGAACAATGGGAGTTTTCTTTATTGCCCAATTATTAGGAGCACTGTCAGCTGACTTTCTGCAAATTTAGAAATGAATGACAAAACCAATGACATAATGGTGTTAAGTGTCATGGAGTTGGTTCCAACTGGTGTGTTTAAACTGCTGACCTTGAGGTTTGCAGCCCAGTGCTGATCCTAGAACATCACACCAGGAGTCCAATGACATAATGGAGAGGGGGAAGTTGGGAAGAAACAGACATGGTGCTATAGCTACCAAGTGCTGACTCAGTCTGAAAGGGTATTTTCTAATCATGGCGGGGACAGAGAATTTAGATATGACCCTTTATATCTGATTGTACTGAGACATAGAATATGAGGGGGCTTCGAAGAATTCATGGAAAAATTCCATTTTCCCATGAACTTTTTAAAGCCCCCTCATATTCCCAAGGAGTCTAGCTAAACATCTTGGATTTAACTGTGTACTTACTTTTGGTGTGGGGCTTCTCACACTATACTTTAAGGTTCTGCTATAGGCCTTCTCCCCCTTCCTCATCCTATCCACTCCACCTGTTGATGATCTGATTTGTATAGCAAATATATTTCCTTGAGTAGTCTCAAAAGAACCTCAGACTCAGAAATTACCACAGAGGAAACATCATCTCTCACTCAGATTTGTTCTTCCTCCAATGTTTTTGTCTGCCTATTGCTAAAGTCAGATCCTGAACTCGAGGATCATTCTTGACACTTAACCTCTCCTGGAACAACGTTCCATGGCTCTACAACCCATTGCTTCATCCTAGCACAGGCTACTGTTAGCTCTTGTATAGATGCTGAGCTACCAGTGCCCATTTTTGCCTCCCATCTACGCTCTAAATTGAGTGATCTTTTAAAAATGCAAACCTCAACAGATTCTTCTTAGAATTCTCCAACAGACACCCATTACCATCAAGAAGGTCTAAAATCCGTCTAATTCTCTCTTGAGGTGTTTCATGGCCTAGATCCAACCCACCTCACCAGTCCCATTTCTCCCTACTCCTCCCAGTACTACAAAACACATAAGCACACACATATACATACAAATGGACTCCAAACTGTATTATAACTGAACTCTCTTATGTCCCCAACTCCATCAGAACAATTCCTATTTTCCCTTAATTCCAGTTCAGTGCTCCTTGTCATGGACAGCTCTTTGGTAAATCTTATCACACCAGTCACTACCTCATTAGACCATGATGGCAGGGACTGGACCTGTCCAGAGCCCCCTTCTGTCTCCCATAGCACCTAAAACAGAGCTTGGTTTATAGTAGGTGCTGTGTGTGTCTGTATGCATGCATTTGTTGAATGAATAAATGAATGATGAATGGTCTATAAATGTGATGAATATGAAGTCTATAAATCTGATGGCTGAATGGTCAAGGGAAAGTTATATTAGAAATGTGAGAACACCACAGAGTCATGCCCAGGACCCATCTCACCTCAGCACAATGCCAATGCAGAGAAGTGTTCCGAATACCAGGCTTCCTCCAGCCACCAGGAATGTATGCAGTGGTACCGAAGAAGATTCTTGCACTACAGAAAAAAAATTTTTAAAGAGAAAACATTCAGATGGTGCTGCTGAAGACCTCAAAGGAGCCTTACCCCAGAGAAAAAAGCAGTTCTGCCAACCCAGCTGGCCACTTGACAAGCTGGCCATTTTCTGGCCAGCACACCTACGCCCAGCACTATCTGAGATAGGCCCTAGGATTTCACCACTTGAAAAGAAATACCTCAAGCACAGTTCTTCTAAGCTTCTGCAGTGAGTCACAGACTCCTACTCATGTCCAGAATGACTTTCCTGGTGCTGGGCCTGCTCTTAAAATAACAGGGGCCTTGCTGATGGTGGCTCCACCAAAGGCCATGTCCTCAGGAAGGCTCAGATGCCATCAGATCTCCACGTACTTGGAAGCAGTCTACGCTAATGGAGTGTCATCTTTTACCCAGTGCCCATCTGGTACTCAATTTCTAGTCATTCAGTTCTCCAACATGGCATGCTCTCTTTCCTCCAGGTCTCTCCACACATCTTCCATCTGCTCAGAATGCTCTTCCCACATTGGCTGCACCCCTTTGCTGTCTAGTCCCTACTTGGCCTTTGAGTCTAAGATGAGGTGATACCTTTGAGAAGTGACCCCATTCTAAGCTGGGTAAGAGCCCTGCCTGGTTACATCTCTGCTCCACCTCTAGACTGAGCTCCCTGAAAGCAGGAGCCACATGCATGTTTCTCACTGTTGTTCTTCCAGTGGCTTAGAGGCAGTGCTTAGCACAATGGAGACGCTCCAAAAGGTTTTGTCGAAATGAATGAAAGAACAAATCAGCTTCACAAGCAGCTGTGTCCTCCTACAGAAGGGTCCTTCCTACTGTAGACCGACAGAAACTCTGGGCCAGAGAATACACCATTCTCTTTTTCTGCTGGGAATGCTAATATTTGTAGTTACATGGACTTTGGATCCTGGTTCTTCTGTTCCATTTGGACCCACGGTTAACTGAAGATGCTCTTTGTATGCAGGCTTGCAATGAGCCCAGGCTAACAAGTGAGCAGAGCCAAGCATGTTATGGGAGCGGTATGCATGGCTTGCTAATTTACTTATAGTTTATCACCTTCATTTATTCAGCAAATGAAAGTGCCAGCCTTTATTCTAAGCCATGGGGATACAGAGAAACACATAACAGTAAAATCCTTCTCCTCCTAGATCTTACCTAGTAATCAATGAGCCAGACAAACAAACAAATAGGTAATATGGCATCAGAGGTGACAAGTACAATGATGAAAAGAAGAGATTCTGCTGGTCAAACAGAAGTCAGGGGAGTGTTCTCTAGGCAGAGCAAGCAGCAAGTTTCAAGTCCCTGAGGTAGAGCATGTGTGAAAGAACAAGGAGGCCAACAGACTCCTTGAGAACAGGGATGGCTTAACTCCCTCTGAGTTCCCAGCTGTGCAGAACTTAGCACCTGGTAGTCAGCAGGTACTCCATGCATGCACTGTATTATAGTAGGGCTTTGCAACCTAGATGGTGCAGCATCAGCAACTGGCATGAGGTGCAGGCATGACACTGCCTAAGTAGGAGTAATGGGACTGAGGATTTCCTCAGCCAGATCAAGAGCCATTTTTCAGTGTTTATCCTACAATGCCAAAACAAGGCTCCTATGATTTTCCTGGATTCCCATGTTGGTAAGTTTTTCTGGTCTTGCACGTATAGAGAGTTCTGATTTCATTCAGAAAGTCTAAAATGAAGAGCTCCCAAAATGAGAGCCCTTACCATGTATTCCATTTCAGGCTCCAACAATTTTATTGGTAGCACATTCATTTGTATTGTGGCTGAGAGTGAAATTATTTCTCTGGTTTGTTCTATTCTTCTTACAGGCCCCTCACCAATTCATAACTAACACTATTAAACTTGAATGTATAAAGCAGTGAAAGAATATTTCTGCTAGTGATCCTTTTCATGAAGTCAGACTGGCCCCTCAGCCAGCTTTTCCAAGTAAGAAAGGACTTTCTGCAGAGACTGGTTTTTATGTGCCACTCAGACCCTGATAATGTACAAAAACACACAGTCCTTACCTGGGGGGCTTGTTGCATTTGCAGGGTATGGAGGCGGAGTAGTATCGTCACCATATTCATTAGTGGTTGATTCCTAAAAAAGACATGTTTCATCATATGCCTGATTCTACAGAGTCCACCATCATTTGAAGAATTGGACCCCATTTTCAAGCACCCCATCCTCAAAATTTCTCCTGCCATCCAAGGAATTTCTTTTATGTACTCTATGATCTTTCCCATATTTGGCCTTTATCACCCGTAACTTATTCACTATTATTTGTATTCATTGTATATAGATCTTGCCGACTCAAGGTGGGCATTTCTTTCCATCAACTTCTTCACCAAGAGTTTATGGGCACAACACCTCCCACAGGAGAGACACTAAATAAATAGGGTGAAGCAGCAACTGTCCTTACAGGCCTGCTGTCACTTCCTGGGAAAAGCATGAATTAGGACCCTGGCCCCACCACTTACTAGTTATGGGGCCTTGGGCAGTTTTCTTAACCCATCCTGGATCTCCATTTTCCTCCCTTGTAGAACATTGTTCTCATTGTTGTTGTTATTGCTAAGTGCTGTGGAGTCCATTCTGACTCATAGCAAGCCTGTATAGGGTTTCCCAGGCTTTAAATCTTCACAGGATCAGGAAGCCTTATCTTTCTCCCACAGACCGGCTGGCAGGCTCGAACTGCAGACCTTGTGGTTTGCAGTCCAGTGCTTATCGTATGTTCTTGTTAGCTGCCATCAAGTCAGTCCTCAATTTATTACAATGCAATGAAGCACTGCCCAGTTCCATGCCATCCCTCTGGTCAGTTTCGGGCTGGACTTTTGTGATCCAGAGGGTTTTCGTTGGTTGATTTTTTAGAAGTAAATTTCTGGGCCTCTCCTCCAAGTCTGTTTTAGTCTGGAAGCTCTGCTACATGGAATGTGTTTAAGGTTCAGGAGCCTCAGGCTCCCTCCCTATACTGCCCAGACCTGCTCCCGCTTAGCTCTTAGGGAATTACAGACCAAGGGAAGAGATACAGTTGGTTGGAAAATTGGATTATTCTAAGAGGTTGTTAAGCAGCTTCAGAGGTAATCCTCTTTCTAGCAAATTATGACACCAGGACTCCAAGTCTCAAGTGAAGCCATTAGTGCTGTCCAAAAACCCAGTGATCAAACAGAAGCCACTAGATGTGCCAGGCCAATGCTTCTGACACTTTACAGGGCCACAAAAGCCCTGCAATGTGAGAGCTGCTACTACCCCATTTTGTAGAAGTGGAAAGAGGTCAAACTTCTAGTAAGTAGCAGAGCCGGGAATTAAGCCAAATACTGCCTGGTGCCAGTCTAACACCAGATACTGTCGCTTTCACCCTTTCACAAGACCATGAGCTCACCTGAGTGGAGGAGGTCACCGCAGTCTCAGTTGTAGGACTCTCAGAATCTGTAGACAGAAGAAAGGTTGTTACTGACAATCCATGGGTTCTAGGGTCCTATTGGCTGGGCTATCTAAAAGCAGAGTGAATTTTATTACACTATTATTTAAAGGAAGGAACTCTGGTAGCATAGTGGTTACGAATCAGGCTGCTAACCTCAAGATCAGCAGTTCAAAACTACTAGCCATTTCACGGGAGAAAGATGAGGCATTCTGCTCCCGTAAAGATTTATAGCCTTAGAAACCCTGTGCAGGGTCGCTATGAGTCAGAACCGACTCCATGGTACTTAACAACAACAACAACATTATTTAAAGGAACATAACACTGGAAGTAACCAGGATTCCAACCATGAGGAGCAAGTTATACAAGTTATGATATAATCACATAATGCAATGGAACATTTAAAGATAGTTTAGAAAAATACTGGTGACATTAATATGCCGTGTGAGAAATGCAAGACAAGAAAAAAGCCATATAGTTTGATTAGAAGTTTCTACAGAAACACATTCCTATTACATTATTTGTTATAAATTATGGTTTGTAGTAATAAGTAGTCAAAATCAGGAAGAAAAAAATAGAAGACTATATACAAGGGTAAGTAAAAATGTGTTGCTACTAGGGTTCCAGTTCTTACATATATATACTCCAGACAAAATGTGTTTAAACATGTCTCTGTGATCTGTGGATGGCTACAGACAAGTGTTCTCAGTCACACACTTGTCTTGGTCTCATTTGGGAACCTTCAAAAAATGGATAAATTATGTGTCAAAAATAAAGAAATAACTTTGAGGTATGCACTAATATCAAAATTTTAACAACTCAAGTGGACATCTTCTACCATCATTGAACAAGCTTATGGGAATGATGTCCCACACAAGACAACAGTTTTAAAGAAGGTCCTAAAGACCTCAACGATGAACTCAAGGCAGAAGTCAGTTCAGAAGGTTATGGCAACTGGTTTGGGGATTCCAAAAGTGGAAGACCAGAGAAGAACTGGTGCAGTTGGCTTATGGTACTGGTGAAGACTACTGAAGATACTGAGGACTGTCAGGAGAATGAACAAATCAGTCTTGTAAGAAGTGTAGCCAAAATGCTCCTTTAGAAGTTGGGCATATAATCAGAAGGGACTAGTCCCTGGAGAAAGTCATCATGCTTGGTAAAGTAGAGGGTCAGTGAAAAAGGGGAAGACCCTCAATGATATGGATTAACATGGTGGCTGCAAAACAATGGGTTCAACGGGACCCTACTCAGAGAAGCAGTGATGCCTGAGATGGAGACAGTGATGATGACGTGGAGAGATGGAACAGCTGGGGACTTTAGACACAGAGAGGGAGAGGGGCTGTATGTTGACGACTGAGGGGCAGGCTTATAGTGTATACCCTTTGGTTGGTTGATGATGCATGGAGGGGATTGTAACCATGGCAATGAAATGATATACAATAGGATGAATATAAAACTAATGTTCTCCCATGTAAACTATCACATAATTCACAATAAAACATTAAAGCAACAACAACAACAATGGGCTCAATCATAACAACTGTGAGGATACCACCTTGTTTCACTCTGTTTTGTAAGGGTCCCTA